AAGAGGAAGAGATGACAATCCTAAATATATATGCAACAAATATGAATGCCCCCAACTATACAAAACAAATATTAATGGACATGAAAAACCAAATAAACACTAACACAGTTGTAGTGGGGGACCTCAATACCCTTCTATCACAAATAGATCATCTAGACAAAAAGTTCACAAGGAAATTCTAGAACTGAACCAAGTTATTGAACAAATGGACTTAATAGATGTTTACAGAGTGTTCCACCCCATGAAATTGGAATACACATTCTTTTCGGCTGCACACAGGTCATTCTCCAGAATAGACCACCTGCTAGCACATAGGACATACTTTCAATGAAGTTTTTAATCTCCTGAATATCTGTTTGAATCTGTTTCATGGATTCCATTTCTTTCTTATGTTGGGTGATCATGGCTTCCATTTCTTTCTTATGCTGGGTATTCATGGCTTCCTGCATGTTTCTGAGCTCATCTATTTTTTTAGCTGTTTCTGTTCTAGAGCTCCTAATCATGTCTTTCACTCTGCTCACCATCTCTGCAGATACCTGGGAGATTATTTCTGCTTTTAAATTTTCTAGAGCCTCATTCATCTGTTTTGTTACTTCCCGTGCTATCAGTTCAGCGTGTCCAGGTGGTTGATTATCAGACTTTACCACCTCATTTTCCCCAGGGACCCTTGGTGGGGTGGAAGTCTGAGTTTGAGCCTTGCTTAAATGTTTTCTCAGTTTTGTTTTTGGTACTCTCCTTGGTTTAACTCCTGGGTTGATACTTGGACGTTGCTTATTGTAAGTATCTTTGTTGCTTGTAATTAGAACCCTTATGGAATGATTACTTCTCAGAAGTGACTTCCATATATAGCTAGTCTTTAAGTTTTGAGTCTCTAATGACTCTGAGGCTATCTCATTATCATTATACTAGAAAGGATCACTGACTAGACCAATAACAACACTTTAGCCCTAGTGATACAATCAGCAACACCATTGCATCAAGTACATCTTAGAAAATGATATTTTATGGTAGTTATTAACCTATCACCTTTAACTTTGTGAATTAAATCAAGATCGAGGACCAAACCAACATGATTATAGTGAGTAAACTCTTCAATATAACACTTTACTCTTTGGGATGGGGAGTTAGAAGGAGTTGGGGAGGGAGGGACAGATAAGTAGAAGAATAGGGGAAGGTTAGCAGTGTGGCCAGAGGACACAGGTGAGAAGGAAAAAGAGAATAATAGAAAAATAAAGAAATCCAAATGAGGGCCAGAACAGGGACAAAAGGGGAGATAAAAAAATATGGGATAGCAGGAGAGTGAGTATAAGAGAGAGAGTAAGGAAAGCAAAAAGAAAGAAGAAAAAAAAAGGAGAGAGAAACAAAAATTTGCAAAGAGTAGAAGAGAAAAAATTAAAGATAAGAGAAAAAACAAAAGAAAACAGGAAAAAGCAACAAACCAATACTACTAATTTTGGAAATAAAAAATAAAAATAAAAATGAAGGGCCTCTTTCAGGGTATGTCTCTGTTGTCACAATAGAACGAGGTGGGTAGCAGTGTGCAGATATAAATCAATGAGTCTCAGTAAACCAGTCACAGACCGGTGAGGTTCGGGCAGATTTCTGGCTGCAAGTCTCAAGTTGAGCTCCCTGCCCTCCTGTAGTGTTGGAACTCTGCAGGGTTGTACTGCAGGTTCCAGCTGCCCTTCCCCTGATGATAGTCCCAATTCCGATGGGAGGTGATGATTGCTCCAATTTACCCAGTACCATGGTCTGGTAGTCTGGTGTCCTTTGTGTCTTTGTAGTGTGGAACCAGATGTCAGTACACCCAAGAGGCCGGGGGGGGGGGGCCATCCAGTGGATTGCTGCGTCCGGAGAGGTACCAGTTTGAAGCAGGCTGGATCAGCAAGTTCCGCGCGGGCGGGGACCCTCTGACTGCGTCCGGAGAGGTGCCTGTCTGAAGAGGGCTGGTTCCGCAAGTTATGCGAGGGCCCTCCAACTGCATCCAGAGAGGTACAAGTCTGAAGGAGGCTGGATCGGCAAGTTCCTCGTGGGCGAGGACCCTCCAACTGCCTGGACAAGCTATTTAATCAGTGTTCTCTATGTATTGTATATTGATACTGTAATAGCTTTTAAAATATCAGTAGTTTCTTCACTTTCTAAATTTTCTTGCAATGAGATGCATATTTTAAGCATTATAATCACTACTTTCTAGAACTGAAGAATAGTGGGATGAAATGATAATATATTAAAAATGAAATAGTCTTTCTTGTTGAAAATGATATTTTTTATTTCTGCTGTAGCATAAATTTGGCAGCATAAATTTTTCTTACCATTTGCACAGATAACTGTTATGATATATGAAAATAGAATTTATTATATAATTTGAAAGAAAAATTAGGACTCAACATATAATGAGTATTGTTCATAATCCTGGTCTTTGTGGAAGAGTAGATTTTATAAGTGAGTGGGCCTAATTTAAAATGCAAAATTAAATAATTTTGCATGACTTGACACAGCATTTGAAACTCTATGTGACAAAAATATCTGGAGTATTTTGATTGTCTCATGATTTTAGTTAATCCTGCAAGTAAAAATTTATGTAATTAACAATAGTCCATATATGCAGTCTGAGATTATGTGTATATAAACAGGCTCAAAGTAAAACTTTCATTATTAAAAAGAAGATCAATTTAGGGCCAGGGATTTAGCTCAGTGGTTCTGCCTCCTGCCTCACAAGTGCAAGATCCCGAGTTTGATCTCCAGTACCAAAAAGAAAAAACAAAAATGATCAGTTTGGGTTGGGGATAAAGTCTTTGTCTTTCTTAGGATGGTATAGTTTTGTTTTTGTTTTTGTTTTTGTTTTTGTCGGTACCAGAGAGTGAACTCAGGACCTTGTGCTTGCAAGATGGGTATGGTGCCCCTGAGCTAAATCCCTGGCCCAGGATGGTACAGTTTTTAATAAGCTTGCACATTAGTTTTATTATGTCATTCATCAATTTTTCGTACAACCGTATATGCTAGGTGTGGGCAGGTGGGATGTAAATGCTGTCATTTTTGCTTGATGAGGGTATATCTCTGGAAAAAGTATACTGGACTATACTGTTGTAAGTGTTTACCAAGGCACTGTTGTAAGTGTTTACCAGTGCGGAGGACATGCCACTGTGCCTAGAATGAGAAATTCCCCTGGGCATGGTGGTGCACCTAGTCCTAGATACCCGGAAGGCTAAGGCAGAAGGATCACTTGAGGTAAGGAGTTAGGGGTCCAGCCTGGGCAGCACAGTGACAGAGAAAGAGGGAGAGAGGGAAAGGTGAGGAGGGAGAGGGAGAAAGAGACAGTAAGAAAAAGAGACAGGTCTGCAACTGGTGGAACGCATGCTACAAGTGCATGGATAGCTTTAGGTTGCTTTTCATGTTGAAAATATTATGGTTGTATAGAGTTTAACAAAGCTTTGAATGTCAAAGGGAGCTTTCTTAAAGACAAATTATTTTCAACTGTAGCTTTTCTCTTAAGTGATTTTGGATAAACATTCAGCTGGTATGAGAGAAATTAAAGTAGCACTGGCTTAAGCAAAGGGGTTTGTTTCTTTCTGATGTTAGAGTTCACCACCACAGTCCAAGCCTAGGTGGCAAATCCACAGTTTGGGGAACTCTACTTTCTTCTGTGTTTAGGTTTCACTGTCTCCAGAGTCCTCATGGTCCAAGCTAACTTGCCCCTTCCGTGTTCACCTGCCAGTCAGCAGAGTGGGACAGCAAGGCTCCAGACACTTTTCTTCCATTCAACGCCACTGGCCAGCATTTAGTCAAATGGCCATAGCTAGACTGAATTGTACTCTTCACTTTGGGCAGTGGTATGCCCAGCTGAGGATTTGGAGTATGATGTTTCTACAAAAGAACAGGAAGAACAAATGCTAATGACAATTCTCAGTTTTTGTCAAATATATCTCTTGTATCTGTACTGCTATTGTAAAATGTCAGCTAATTTGTCCATTCTTCTTTAAAATGATTTTTTCCTCCAATCCAGGGTCACAAGTACAGATCATTCCTTCCTAAGTGATGGTCTCTTTGTACCTGAAGACCAGCTAGAGAACCAAAAACCATTACAATTGGATGTAATTATGGTAAAGCCTCATGAACTTTGTGCCAATCAAGAAAATGCTGCAGTGTCTTCTGCAAAGAAGCCCAAGTTAGCAGGGAAAGATTCAGCAAGCACTGCCTCCACCCACTGTGACTCTTATTCAGGACTGGGAAAGGACACGGGAGCACAGAGCATGGGCCAAGCTTGCCAAGAGCCATCGTGTTCATGCTCTTGTTCTTCCGCAAGTCAGCAGTGCCAGATGACAGCCTGCACTCAGGAGATTCTGGAAATTTTGAAGCAAGGCAATGCATTTATTTTAGATACTGACTTAGATTTTTTTTCTGTCAAGAACCCCTTCAAAGAAATGTTCACTCAGGTCGGCACTATTTTCAAAACATGGATCTTGAGAATTACATGGTACTTCTCTAGATTAGGGCATAGGAAGCTTTCTGCAAATAGCCAGATAGTAATTATTTAGGGTTTTGGAAGCTACACTCTGTCACATATTCTTCTTTCTTTTTAATCTTTTAAAATTATATACAGTTTGAGCATTCCTGATTCCACAATCTAAAATACTCCAAAAGTCAGCATCTTTCAAGCATCATGATGAAATGCACGAACTAAATCTATCCAGAATATTCTAAAATCCAAAAATCTCCAGAATCTAGCTGGGCACATTAGCACACTGTAACCCCAGCACTGTGGGAGGCTGAAGCAGGAAAATCACAAGTTTGAGCCCAGCCTGAGCAGCTTAAGCTACTTAACAAGACTCTGTCTCAAAATTTTTAAAAAGGCTGAGCATGTAGCTTAGTAAAAAGGCTCTGAGTTCAATCCCCAGTACCACACACGCACAAAAAAGAAATCCAAAATCTGAAATACTTCTGGTCCCAAGCATTTTGGATAAAGGATACTCAAGTCTTCATTCTACTTTAGAATTTAGTAGGTGTGTTTTTAATATCATAAAGAAAGATAGTAGAGAATTCTGTTTGTTATGTCTATTGTTATAAACTCTGTGATCTTGGGAAAGTTACTTAACTTTTTGACCTGCAGTTTTTCAAATATAAACTGTGAATAATAATATGTGGCTGGCTGAAGAGATAGCTCAGTGGTAGGGTACTTGCCTAGCATGCACAAGGCCCTGGGTTCCATCCCTAACACTGCAAAAACAATCAGACTCGACTCAGGATTGTTGGGATTGGTAAAGCACTGAGAATAGTGCTAAACATTGTATTTAGTAAGTTTTAGTTCTTAGATAGGACTTCTCCCTGGCAGTAGTCTTAAATAGGGTTATTTGGCCCAAGTGTGTCCACCTACATAATGAAACTGTCTGGTTGTGCCAAACAAGGGGAGGCATTATCCTAGAGAGTTGGTATGGCAGGCATCTCTCTTCCTTTGAGTGGAACTTCCTAAGAGAAGTTTTGTAGTTGCCAATCTGCTTCTTTAAGACTTAAGTAGTGTGCTGAAGTAGTGTCCATTTTAATGGCTGTACCCTGAAAACTTTTTTTATCATCATCAAAGATGTGTATACCTCCTATACACAGCTAAAATGTATTAAGATCCCAGAATATATCCATCTATATGATGAGATGTTATTTTAATCTCATGACCAAGTGGCTACCTAGTCTTCCACAGTGAATATTTATACTTTATTCTCATGCCCAACCGGGTAAGAGTTGCCCTGAAGAAATTCTGTTTACAACGGAAGTCTATAATATACATTTTGCCTGATTCTCCAAAACAAACCATTGAATAATTACATAAGATGCACTCCTTCTGTCACACATGATCTATGTTTCATGTAAAGCATATCACTGAAAAAAATCAACCTTAGATGTTTTGTTTTCCAGGAGGAATACAAAATCTTACAAGAGCTCTACCAATTTAAAAAGCCTGCTAGCAACCTAACTGAGGTATCCACCATTTATTTCTTCTAGATTTTATGCATTTGTTACTTGTCTAGTAGTATCTTGTAACTTTTTAGCGTGATCTTAAAAGACTGTCCAAATTCTGTGTGTATTTGCACCCGTGTGCATGCATGCGTGCTTGCATGTGCACACGTGTGCATTTGTTTATTGGTCAAGCCCATTAGTATATGAAAATAATGTGTCAAGAATTTTCACTATATAGGATTTCACTTGTTTTTTGAAAGAATAATTGTATATTCTCAGCTTTTCAATGTATTTAAAGGAAGATTTGGTAGATACTGTTGATACTCAAATTCATCAGTTAGCAGACTTAGAAGCAGCTTTTGCTGATTTGTGTGATGGTGATGATGAAGAAACTATACAGAGATGGGCTTCAAACCCTGGGTAAGGTCCCAAATCATTTTCTTTGACTCCAAGTCTACTAATTTTCAGTCCTAAACAAATTCCTAAATTTGATAGATAAATTGCTTTTTCAAAATGAATATTTAGCCAGGCATGTTGACACACACACACACTCTTGAAAGCTGAGGCAGGAAGACTGTAAGTTAGAGCCTATCCTGGGCAGCTTAGAAACTTAGCAAGACCATGTCTTAAAATAAAAATGGCTGGAGCTATAGCACAGTGTGAAGACCCTGGGTTCAATCCCTATTTCGACACAGGTTCACCAATGGTAGCATTTATTGAGTGTTTTTAGTGTAGTCTGTATCTAAGGATTTCCCTTGCATTGTGTCATTGTTTTCCTTATGATGACCTATGGATACATTATTACTATGTTCATTTTATAGATGAGGAAACCCAAGGCACAGAGTTTTAAGTAAGTTTCCCAAAGTCACATTGTAAGTGGACATGCTTTTAGTTGTTGTGCTAGAGCTGACCCTAAGCATGTTGTACTAGGTCTTACAGAGAATTAAAGATGAATATATGGGTAGTCCCTGTCCTAAATAGAATAAGAAAGAAACAATTAATCCATCAACAGAGAATTAAATTACTTGACAGGTAAATTCAATAGGAACATTGGCTTCCTTTAAGAATAGCTCAATGAAGAAGTGATAAATGTTTGAGGTAATGGATATACATACCAATTACCCTGATGTGATCATTGCGTAGTATTTACATGAGTAGAAGTACCACATTTTATCCTATAAATATGTACAATTATGTGTCAACTTAAAAAAAATGAAAAGCCCAGCTACAAGTAGTGGAGTTTATTTTCAATCTGTTCATGACATGAGGGAGGAAGATTTGAAGGCCTGATTCTTCATCTAATCATTTATGTGGCCGATTCTCATTATTTTAACATTACTTGGAAAGCATGAAAAGTCCTATGAAACCTGATATGAAAGAATAGTTACTTTTCCCTAACATGTCTTGTAAACTGGCCAGAAAACTAAAAACCATTAAACAAAATTTTTATCCTTATGCACACAGGAAGACCAGACTGACTTACTTTAAAATTAGTCCCCCACACACTATAGTGAACAATTGCTTATAAAACATTCTGTGGTATTATAACATATGATAAGAGGTTAGAATCATAGTGTGTTTAGGTGAGAATATGAACAACCCCTTAGATTTGTCATGTGATGCTTATTAAAACTAATTCATCAGTGAGCTGGTCATGGTGCCACATGCCTTTAATCCCACCACTCGGGAGACTGGGGCAGGAATATAGCAAGTTTGAGCCTACCCTGGGGAAAGTAACAAGACCCTGTCTCAAAGTTTAAAAAATTAAAGGCAGAGGGGATGTAGTTCCCCCATACTAGGAAAAATAATAATAATAGTAATAATAATTTACCAGCTTTCTGGAAGAATACTGAAACCGGGATAGTGGTTGCCTCTGGTGAGATGAATCCTGACTAAGAGATGAAGTATATGAGCAAGAAATACTTTCTTTTGCTATGTATGTGTATTACCTATTGAACATACTCACCGTAAATTTTACTTTAAAATATTCAGAGATATTCCTGAAATGTAAATATCATGAAACTTTCATTGTTTTCATTAAGGAAAGCAGTGGTATGGAAAAATAATTCATAATAGTTTAATCACATTGGTAAACATTGATCAGACACTTTAACATCGGTTAATGCTTTTTCTTTTCAGTATAGGGAGTTACTTCTAAAAATTATTGTGTTTTTGTACCGGGGATCAAACTCAGGGCCTTGTGCTTGTGAGGCAGGCAGTGGCACCACTGAGCTAAATCCCCGGACTAAAACTTATTCTTTTTTTGAAATTATGATGGGAGAGGAAGATAGAAAAATAAATTACAAGATATGAGTCCTAGAAATATTGAAGACTACCCACTGTTTTGTGACTTTACGAAGTCTCAAGCCAAGTTTAAAACTTAAAACAATATCAAAGGTAACCATAGATACTTTAAAATCTTGGATCTAGTCCCTTCCCCCAGAAGTCACTGTGATTGCTGAGCTGCCTGGGTAGCACTTCAGTGTCCACAGGAAGCCCTGTTGGGAACTCAGAGGTTCAAGGAGAATGTGGTTGGAGTGGGGGGAACAAGAAGAGCACAAGAAAACGTGGGGGTTGCAATGGAGAACATTTACCTCTTCATATTTTAAGATGACATTCAAGCAGCTTTATCTTTCCTTCCTAAATATACAAAGCATATTGTCCATGGTAAGTGTGAAGTGTAATGTATCATTTGCTACTGTAATTTTAGTTGAGGTGGTTGTGGTTTCTAACTGAGTTGGGTTGGCTTTTTTCCAGAATGGAGTCACTAATTCCACTTGTACAGAGTTTGAAAAAACATATGGAAGTGCCAGACCATGAAATGGTAAATATTTATATTAAAGTGTAAAACTGACCCTTTTTAAAGGCAGTTTTTTGAGTAAAACAGTTTGATTTTTGTGAAGATAGTTCATTTTTATTTGTGTTCCTAAAGTCTAGATGAATTACTAAGAAAAGAAATAGGTGAAAAAAATAGAACAATTTTTAGGAAGCAGAACACTGGAAAAGTTTTCTAGAAAAAACATGTTTTTCTCAATTCTATATACAATGCAACAGTACTGTTACTCCTTTTTAATTTTGTTGACAGACCTCTCTTCACCACAGAAGAATGGGTCCAGAATCTCTAAAGCTGTTCATTTCTTATTGAGTCCAATTTATACTCCCTTTGTCTTTTCTTTTTTTCTTTCTTTGAAAACTTCTGATTATAGAAACCAAAAGAGAAAGATAGGCAAGCTGTGGCTACTGCATTTTGAGTATGTCAGCTCTGAATCCTGTGGCCAAAGACACTTTTTTTTTTTTTTTTT